CTCCTATCATGTCATGTTCTCCTAATACAAAGTCGAATTTTTGGACAAAAGTTTCATTCATTCGAACATTTGGAAATTTCCAAGAATTTGACGTCAGTTCCAAGAATTTCAGAAATTCTGAGAATTTGACATCATTTCCAAGAATTTTAGAAATTCCGAGAATTTGACGTCACTTCTTGGAAAAATTTTTCGATCGACCTCCTATCATATCATGTTCTCCTAATACAAAGTCGAATTTTTAGACAAAAGTTTCATTCATTCGAACATTTGGAAATTTCCACGAATTTGACGTCAGTTCCAAGAATTTCAGAAATTCTGAGAATTTGACATCATTTCCAAGAATTTTAGAAATTCCGAGAATTTGACGTCATTTCTTGGAAAAATTTTTCGATCGACCTCCTATCATGTCATGTTCTCCTAATACAAAGTCAAATTTTTGGACAAAAATTTTTCTACGATCGAGGAATTTCGTTGTTAACTTTGTTTTTTAAATATCTCGCTTATTATTCAAGATATTGAAAAATGTTTCTAATAAAAGTTGAATGGTTTCAAAAGGGCTATATTCTGGTGCTCTCATTTTTTTCGTAGGTTGACCAATAAAAAACTTTTCAAACTGAACTTTATTTTTTTATATATTATCATAGTCTTTTTAAAGCACCAGTCGATGTATCATGGAATTTCCCATAGAAAAGTATTGAGCCACTTATAGCAAAAAACCATTAGTTTAAAAGATATTTAAATAAATTTGTTTATTTTTTAAACCATAAGTTTTTCGGTATGTATGGCTCAGTACTTTTTTATAGGGAATGCTAAGTGACATCAACTAGTGTATTAAATGATGTCCAATTCTTTTTAAAAACTAACATTCACTTTTATAGATTCTTTGTGCTTTTATGTATAAAAAAGTATGATACTTTTTTTTATACTCATCTTTTATACTTACCTTTCATACTTACCTCTTATACTTACCTCTTAAATCAGCCATATTTTCAGGAATTAATCATTTTTTAATAATTTACTTAATTCTAAGGGATTGAAGAAGGATATATAGGATGGGCTATGTAATATTATTACATAGCCCATCTTAATATCTCATTAATTTTTCATAATATTAAAAAATGTTTTGAACTAAAGTTATACGATTTCATAAAAAGAATATTCTGATGTTATGAATTTTTTTTACAAATAAACATATGGAAGTTAGTTTTATTTTTTTAGGACAGTAATGTTATAACACTAATACATGAAACTCAATATGCTTTATAAAAAAAGTACTAAGCTTATTATTATTATAGCATTTGTTTAAGAAATATTCTTTCAAATTTAATCATTTCTTAAACTACAAATTATTTGCCATATCAGCTTTAATACTTTCTTATAAAGAACAGCGAGATCTGCTGAAGCATTATAAAACGTATGCTTCTATTCAAAAAATTGATTCATAGACTTTTATAAATCCTTCACAAGTTAATGTATAAAAAAATTAACATCAGAATATATATTTCTCGAAATATTTTATCTGAAACATTTTTTAATATCATTAAAAATTATTGAATTTACATATACATATAAAATACATCTAGTGAGGTAGGTGTAGTAAAGAAAAATTACAACGCATATCCATACAACACAATTTATTGTTTATTAAATATATTCTAACAATATTTACATAACTACCGATTCTTACAAATATTCAAGTTTCACAAATTATTATATCGCTTATTATAATTACACACGCAAATTAAAAATAACTTCATCTCTCGTTCCAAGGCGTCATCAATTGTCAAATTTTCGTTCAACGCCATCCACGAAGAATCCTGTTCTGTTCCGTTGAAAATTGTCCACAGATTTCGTACGACGAAACTTTTCCACTTTCGTCAAGGGCCCGGATAACAGTTGCTCGTTAATAAAGGGACGGGTGTTGAACGGTGGCCAACAGCGGAGAGCATCGGTGGACAAAGATATCACGGTCCGCATTATCGCGTTTTACGGCCGTGTAAATTACAGCTCGCAGGTTTTCGCGCGGGTCGAGGCCCCGCAAAAACGGGTTGGCTCGCTTTCTTCGCGCTTGTTTCTGGGCCGCGGAGGTCGTGACAATATCCAGCTGACCGTTCCACGAGATAAATCACTCGTGGATTACGTATAGTGTACTACGTGTTCACTTTCGACGGGTGGACGAACTGGATCGCGGATACAGGGCATCCCTCTTTTCTTTTTCCAAAACGAATTTCGCGCTTGTGGGAACGGACGTGTGTGCGTTGTCGAACTAAAACTTGACAAAGAATATCGATATATGAAAATCTTTTGAAATGGTAATGTGTGTGTGTGTGTGTGTGTGTGTGTGTGTGTATGGAATGATACGTACGTGAAGTTTGTTTAAATGAAATTATCAGTTTTTGTAATTGGAAGGATAAGAAATGATTTCTTATCACGAACAATGGGTTCTCTTCTAAAATGTCTCTTACCTTTTATTAGATTAAACGTGACGTTAATGTGAGTAAAATTATAAGTCACTTACGTATCTTTACGATCCCAAAGTTCATCAAATACAACGATTTAACAATGCAATTACTCTCGCTTTCGTTCGAGAACGTATTCGAATACGATCGAACGATTAGTCATAAGATCGATAAACACTTGGAAATCGCTCAATTGTCGGTGAATTAACACGATGGAATACGGTTTGATGGTGTTAGAAAACGAATTATCGTTAGCGGGCATATAATAGGCAGGCAATAATCATCGTTCACGAATAGAAGAATACACAGGATGCGAAGTTAAATCGGTAATAATCTCTTGACAAATTCAACAATCGCGTCGGTACTCGCTTCGCACAAACGGCCACGGCTGACGCATCAAAGAGCTCGGTGTTCCATCGATCTTTCATAACGTAATCCCGCGTGAATAATCGTACAGAGTGGAAAGAGAATGAGCGGCGTGTATATATGTGTGTGTATATTTCTCGCCAATGTAATGAAACGAAAGATTTATACGAAAACATAATAATAACTCGTGAAAATGAACCATGCGACACTATGTGAAATTCAATAAACTCCCCAATGAAAACTTGTACTTGTATGTAAAGTATTAATTGTAAATTTCTTTCTTTCTCCATAGAAGAAGGGATGAAATTCGAAGTTTCGGTATTCTTTGATATATTCTAATTTAATAAAAAACGATTGCTCGATAATTTTTAAGAAAAAATTCAATTAATTTTATAACATACCCTTTCAAAAGTTTACCGTGAATATTTTTATTGTACACCGTTTTCGAGTGTACTTTCGTGAAGACTGGAAAAGTACAAAGAAAAAAAAAGGAAGAAATATCTTTAAAGAGGAATAAAACGATAGAAGACTGGAGCAATCGTCGATTAAAAAAAAAAAAAAATAATAATAAAAGCTTGCATCGACTCGTTAACCTTTTAATTAATCGATAAGAACAATTTTCGCGGAGGAAGTTGAAAGTTGAACGGAACGTTGGAACAAAAAGGTAAAAAGGAGATAAACGAAACGAGGACTCCCTTTTTACCACCTCTCGTTCCTCGCATTTTCCTTTCTTCCCTTCAAAGAGGGGGCTCCCTGTTTAAAAAAGTTTTCGATTCACGGCTGACCTCGGGAGACGAGATCGAGGAGGGGAGGGGGCAACAGCTTTCAACCTTCCTTCGTAACGTTAGTCGAGCAAAGTTATTATAATCGTTATCCGGTCGAATCCATATGACGTAATTACTACCTCGGCCGAGAATCGAAAAAGCGTTAAGCGTACGGAACCGATGCCTGATTATAGTGGAACGATAATAGACGGCTTTTAAAAGTTCATTAAGTAGCCGATTGTGCGACTCGAAATTGTCCGTGTTGAATTGGGTCAACGACGAATGGGCCGAAGACGTGATTTTCTTCTTCTTCTTCTTCTTTTCCACGCGAAGAAGAGGAAGAAGAAGCAGAAGAAGAAGAAGAAGAAGAAGAAGAAGGGTCGAACCGCGTGAAACGACACGCCAACCGGATTATTTTCGAGCCGCCTTCTTTTTTTCCCCCGATCCCCGCGAATCATGGAGAAGGAAATTATGCTCTATAAAAGGCGAGCGCACGAGCCTATCTCGATACGATGCCAACATGCGATGCGATTCTACCTACTCTCTTTCGGGGGAAAGAAGATGCCTCCTCGAGGAGATGTTTGTTTGCTCGCCACGTTTTTTCCTTTCTTTTATCGGGGAAGAGAATTTATACAGGGAAATCGTTTATACGAACTCCTTTTTTTCGATCGATTATTCGAAATATTCGAAATTCAACGATGTTTGAAAACTCGAAGCTTAAACATAAGATGAAAACTGTTTAAAGCAACATCACGAAAATATTCTCCACTTTCCTTCCAACGATTCTCCTCGTGTAATCAGCTTGCTGTAAAGTGTCCCAGAAAGGGATACTCGAAAGCTTGGAACGCGAGAGGACAACAGGAGAAGGAGAAGAAGGAGGAGGAGGAGGAGGAGGAATTGGAAAAAACGGAGGCTCCTTGGCCGCTCATCCTCCGGAGGCAGAGGCGAGATTCCGCTCGTGCTCCTTTGGTCCAGCCAGGTCAACGCCCCAGTGACCAACGCACCTTGTTCCTCCGTTCATAACGCGTGTCTGTGTGCGTGCACGCGCGCGAGTGGCGAGCGGGCATCTAGGGCAAACGGGTTCGAGCAACGTTAGACTTTTTCCCCGTCTGCCGCTTCGAGGTTCGAAAAAATGTCGCGGTGGGAGAGGAGGGGGACACGGTGGAAGCTGCGGCGACGCCCCGTCTCGAGAAAGTCGCCCGTTTCCGGAAGAGTGGGATGGATTTCGGAAGTAAATGTGGAAGGATCCTCCTCGAATGAAGCGATAATGGAAGTTTTGTCGTTGGCTCGTCGTAAATGATGACACAGCGTTTGCGTTATATAATTCCCTTCCGTGTCTTGGAAATTAACGATCACGTTCAGAGAAAATTGGAACAGAAGAAATCAGAAGAAGAAGAAATCGTTGCGCGTTGGTTTTTGGTATCTAAATAAAATAAATTGGAATTTTTAATTAATATATTTTCGATTATCACTTACGTGTATTTAACGTGTTACCTGGTAAAAGGTTATTTGAGGAAAAAAATCGATAAATTATACCTCGTTCAAAATTGTTAAATCATTGTTAAAAGAGAATTCTAAAAATTATAAGTCAACTCGTCGAATCGTTAGTTTTTATTATTATTCGTGATTTAAGCGTATCTTAACCAACGTAAGGATATATATTTCCTCAACAAAATGGACATTGGATTGTAAATGTCCGATTTGTAATTTGTATTTGAACTCGTAATTGAATATATTGAAGAGTGAATATAATACTGATTTATTATTATATTTTTCGAAAATGTTTATCGGTCGTTAATTATAGAGATAATTCTTGCTAAATCTGTAGACCCACAAGTTGATCTTTTTTACAACTAAACTTGCAATTAGTTTCACCGAAATAAGTTTCATCGAAAATGAATATTTATACGTGCAAACTGTTGTGCAAACTTTACTTAAAATAAACCTCTCTCTTTCGTCCCATATTTACGTGATATTTCATATTACGCTTTTTGCCCTGAAAATGACACGAATAATAATCAGTAACACAAACGCAAATCATCGACACGTGCGACATTAAGCGAATAAAAAAATCTTAAAAAAATTTATGGACAAGAATTACATCTATTCGAGAAGATAGATTTCGATAACGAATAAAGAATAAAATAAGAGAATTTTTGATTAATGGGAATTAAATTACGAACCAATTTTTCCACGTTAATTTTAATTTTAAAGCTTTGGTTGGATGGGGGTCGAATAAATTGTTGCATCCACGACGCGATATCTATCCTTTCATTTTCCACCACCCCTATCATTTTACTACTCCGTACTGTTTTACACTGTAACATCCGGCTGGGGAAATCGTGCTAGACGTCGCGAAAAAATTGAGCAAATCGGTAATTGTTGGCAGGATCGTGCGAGACGATCGTTGACGGAACGTGCGTACACGCGATGGAGTCGCTTCTTTAAATTATACGCCTTTACTCCCGGGAACCAATCGCATAAAAGTGAATATTATATTTTTCCATAATCGTGGTTTCAAGCAATTAACTTCAAATCGTTTTAGAAATTACAGTTGAACATTGTAATATATACAAAATAAAAATTGGTAATTTCTAGTATTTAAAATTATTTATTTGAAAAGATTATTATCTATCAATTATGAAATTGTTAATAAAAGATACTTTATGTGACAAATTAGTGATGGATTACAAGATAACGGACGGTTTAAACGCAAATCCGTTCGAGGAAGGATTACGAATATTAAAATACGCTCCAACTTGTACATACGCAACTTTTAAAGATTTCGCACGCAACATTATACAATTAGATGAGTCACGTTACACACAATCGTTTGGAATTTTATCGTGTGTATTGGTCGACTACGATGATCAGAGCAATGGTCTCCGATGACACAGCAAATTACATTCGTTTCGTGTCCAGAGCAAATCTTCCTTTCAGGCTTTTAATTTCAACCGTGTGCCGCAGCTTACCCCCGATTCATTCTTTTGTCTTTCGAGACCATTATGATTATATTGCTCTATGAAACGGATAAGTATGTATAAATAATTTATAATATATTTTTTTGATGAGATGTTGATATGATATTCATGGAATATCTTTGGAGGGTCTGAAGGTTTTCTGAAACGAAGTTTATTTTTTTAAGTAATAAACAATTGAAGTTTGGGATAAGTAAAAGATAGAGTAAAATGATTTATATGTATTTGTCTTTGCACGCGGTTAAGAACATAATCAAACAAATTCATTAGTTTGATTGATAGTGTTACTGTGCTAATTTGTGCAGTGAAAGCATCACTGGCATCTTGTTGCTAGCTTTCTATTTCAAAGGTTAAGTCGAAAGACCAAAGATTCACTTAATTGATTTGATAATTAATCATTAGAATTGATTCGTGGTGAATTAAAAGAACTTGTGAGTCTAAGTCTGATAAAAATTTTTATCTTTTAATCATCGTGCACGTTTCGCGATCTACGACAATAGAATAGAATCACGTCTTGTAAGATAGAAAAGGAAAAAAAGAAACTATAAATTTAGAAATATATTATATTCAGCCAAATAAAATTTCTTCGTGGATGCACAATAATTTTCATAATTTTCTGAAAAAAGTTTAATGCTAATGTATTTAATTTTACATCAATTTTTCCCATACGTTGTATATCAGCGAGATAAGTGCCAGGAACAAATT